GCCCAGGCTGGAGTGCAGTGGCGCGATCTCGGCTCACTACAAGCTCCGTCTCCCCGATTCACGCCATTCTCCTGCCTCAACCTCCTGAGTAGCTGGAACTACAGGCACCCACCACCACGCCCGGCTAGTTTTTTGTATTTTTTAGTGGAGACAGGCTTTCACTGAATTGCCCAGGATGGTCTCGATCTCCTGACCTCATGATCCACCTGCCTCGGCCTCCCAAAGTGCTGGGATTACAAGCGCGAGCCACTGCGCCCACCTTATATACTTTTTTTTTTGTAGAGATGGCGTCTCAATATGTTGCCCAGGCTAGTCTCGAACTCCTGAGCTTAAGTGATCCTCCAGCTTCAGCCTCCTGAAGTGCTGAGATTATAGCCAAAGACATTGGCTGGGCATGCACCATGGTGCCCAGCCAATTTCTTTTTATAACATGTACCAAGAAGTACAGAAAGCATAACTGTCTAACCCAGCGAGTTTCAGGGCAAACACACCCATGTAACCAGCACCCAGATCAAGAAACAACATTCCCAGCCTCCCAGAGGCTACCTGTGCCCCTCCCAGTCACCCCACCTTCCGCCTCCCAAAGGCACCTGACTTTTTTTTTGTTTTTTTGAGACAGGGTCTCACTCTGACTCCCAGGCTGGAGTGCAGTGGCCCAATCATGGCTCACTGCAGCGTTGACCTCCCTGGGCTCAGGTGATCCATCTCAGACTCCCAAGTAGCTGCGACTACAGGCGTGCACCACCATGCCCAGCTAATTTTTCTATGTTTCGTAGTGACAAGGTTTTGCTGTGTTGCTGAGGCAGGTCTCAAATTCCTGGGCTCAAACGATCCTCCTGCCTTGGCCTCCCCAAGTGCATGTACTTCAGGTGCGAACCACCACACCCACCCACACATAACTTCTTTTTTTTTTTTTTTTGAGACGAGTCCTTGGCTCTGTCGCCCAGGCTGGAGTGGCAGTTGGCCGGATCTCAGCTCACTTGCAACACTCGCCTCCCGGTTTCACGCCATTCTCCTGCCCAGCCTCCGAGTAGCTGGGACTACAGGCGCCCGCCCACCCTCGCCCAGCTAGTTTTTTTTTTGTATTTTTTAGTAGAGACAGGGTTCACCGTGTCAGCCAGGATGGTCTCGATCTCCTGACCTTGTGATCCGCCGCCTAGGCCCTCCAAAGTGCTGGGATTCAGGTCTTGAGCCACCGCGCCCGGCCATAACTTCTAATGTCATAATTACTTTGTGAGTTTTTGAACTTCACATGAATGGGACCATCCAGTAAGTTTTCTTTTGCATGTCTGGTGTCTGGCCTGCACGGCGTCTGTGAGATTCAGCTATACTATGGGTATGACAGTAGGCTGTTTGTCTGATTGCTGGGCGTTTCCATTATGTGACTATGGCCCAGTTTCTTTATCTACTCTGTGCTGACGGGGGTGGGGTAGTTTCTAGTTTGTGAGCCATTGAGAATAGGGCAGTATGTGTCTTGTAAACAGGAGTACCCTTCTGTTAGGTGTATATGTGGGAGAGGAATTGCTGGCTCATAGGATTGGCATATGCCTGGCTTCAGTAGATACTGACAGTTGCTTTCCAAAGTGGTTGTGCTTGTCTGCACTCCCCCAGCAGTGCATGAGGGTTCTAGTAGCTCCGTGTCCTTGCCTGCACCCCTCTGTCTAATTGCAGCCCTTGTGGTACGTGGGGGGAGGTATCTCAGTGAAGTTTTATTTTGTTTTGTTTTGTTTTGTTTGAGATGGAGTCTCGCTCTGTCCCCCAGGCTAGAGTGCAGTGGTGCGATCTTGGCTCACTGCAACCTCTGCCTCCCGAGTTCAGGTGATTCTCATGCCTCAGCCTCCCCAGTAGCTGGGATTACAGGCGCGCACCACCACTCCTGGCTAACTTTTTGTATTTTTAGTAGAGATGGAGTTTCGCCATGTTGGCCAGGCTGGTCTCAAACTCCTGACCTCAAGTGATCTGCCTGCCTCAGCCTCCAAAGTGCTGAGATTACAGGTGTGAGCCACTGGGCTCAGTCCTCAGTGAAGTTTTAATGTGCGTTTCCCTGGTGACTATATTAGTTTCCTATCATTGTTGTAACAAATTACTACTAATTTAGTGTTGCAGTATCACACCTCATGGAGCCTCTGGTGTACTTGTGAAAGAATGAGAATGAGAAAGGCAAATAATGTCTTAGTATTATTAAGATAACAGTTTTGACCTTGCAGACTCTCTAGAAATGTGTTGGGGGACCACACCTAGGACCCAAAGTGGTTGAGAACCACTGCTAGAAGAATATTGGACTCTTATAGCCTAGGAACGATGGGAAATGTTTAAAAGGATTTCCTATCCATATTTTTTTTTCTTGCAGAGATATATAACAGGGTGATCACTAAAGCAAGTATTTTCAGGCCAGGGTGCAGGTCGCTCACACGCTGTAATCCAGCACTTTGGCACCTCGAGGCGAGGCAGTGTGGATCACCTGAGGTCGGAGTTCAAGACCAGCTGGGCAAACATGAGAAACCCCATTTGCTAAAAATACAAAAATTACCAGGTGTGGTGGTGGCACCTGTAATCCCCAGCAACTTAGAGGCTGAAGGCAGGAGAAGGTTGCTTAAAAACCCAAGAGGCAGATTGCAGTGAGTTGAGATCACGCCATTGCCACTGCCCAGCTTGGGCACAAGAGGCAAAAGTCGTCTCAAAACAAAAGAATTTTCAAGCACAAAATAGGATGTGCGCAGGCGGCAGTGGCTCACACCTATAATCCCAACATTGTTGGGAGGGCAGGAGTTCCACTTTGAGTCCAGGAGTTGAGGCCAAACCTGGGCACATGGCAAAACCCATCTCTTACTAAAAATACAAAAATTAGTTGGCGTGGTGGCACAGTGCCTGTAGTCCCAGCTACTCGGGTGGCTGAAGGCAGAGCGCTTCACTTATGCCCAGGAGGTCAGGCTTGCAGTGAGCTGTGATTGTTACCACTGCACTCCAGCCGTGGACAACAGAGCGAGTTCCCTGTCTCAAACACAACCACACCACAAACACACCAACCAACAACCCAAAACGATGCTAGATTAAAAGGGTGGCAGAGAGAAGTGAACAGATAATACAAGTTCAAAGAGAAAACAGGACATGTAAATTTTCTGCTGTTAAAGAGAGCTTTCTTGCATTTTTCAAATGGTCAAATCATTACTATTTAGATTCCATTAGCTACCACATTTACGTTGCTGGAAAGTTGTATCCTTTGCCAACGTTTAAGCTTGGGGAGAATTTTTATAGTGGCAACTTAGAGAGAGTAGACTATATAAATGTTACTGATTCTTCTTTGTTCCTTCCTTCTTCCTTCTTCCTTCTTTCCTTCTTTCTTTTTTTTTCTTTCTTTTCTTTCTTCTTTCTTTGTCTCACTTGGTGTTTTCACCAGGCTGAGGTCCAGGTGCGTGCAATCTCAGCACGCTGGCAACTGCACTCCTGGGTTCAAGCGGTTCTTCTGCCTCAGCCTCCCGAATAGCTGGGATTGCAGGCCTGCACCACGCCCAGCTAATTTTTGTATTTTTAGTAGAGACGGGGTTTCACCATGTTGGCCAGAATGATCTTGATCTCTTGGCCTCATGATCTGCCCCCACCTCGGCTTCCCAAAGTGTTGGGATTACAGGTGTCAGCCACTGCACCCGGCCATCAACTTATTTCTTTTTAAATTTAATAGAGATGGATCTTGCTGTGTTGCCTAGGCTCATCTCTATCTTGTGGACTCAAGCAGTCCTCTTGCTTCGGCCTCCCAAAGTTTTGGGATTACAGGCGTGAGCCCTGAGCCTGGCTCTGAATCCTTTTAAGGGATAAAAAAGCATGCAGAGGCCAGGCGCGGTGGCTCACGCCTGTAATCCCAGCACTTTGGGAGACTGAGGCGGGTGGATCATCTGAGGTCAGGAGTTCAAGACCAGCCTGGCCAACAGGGTGAAACCTCATCTCTACTAAAAATACAAAAAAATTAGCCAGGTGGGGTGGCAGGCACCTGTAATCCCTGCTATTTGGGAGGCTGAGGCAGGAGAATCGCTTGAACTTGGGAGGCGGAGGTTTCAGTGAGCCAGGATCATGCCATTACACTCCAGTCTGGGCAACATGAGCGAAACTCCGTCTCAAAAAAAAAAAAAAAAAAAAAAGGGTTAATTTTATGGTATGTGAATTATGTCTCAATAAAGTCTTTTAAAAGGGTGGGGCTTGCACTCAAGTATGGGGAATGATCAAAGGTATCAAAGTAGGGTGGCAAGATGTTGACAGCTGCTGGACCTCAGGACATGGGTACATGGGGTTCCTTACACTATTCTGGTTTTGTATGTGTTTGAAAACTTACAGAATAAAAAAGTTTTGCTTTTTGAATTGAGCTCCAGGATTCTGGGGTCTTCTCTTCCTCCTTTACCCGCAGTGGGAGTGGAGGTAGCTCTTCCCCTAGCCACAGAGCCCTACTCTGACCTGCCCTCTGATTGGTCAATCTGAGATATAATCACAGACGCTAGATCCAATCGCTAGTGGACTGGTAGGCAGCGATTGGGTCAAGCCTTGGCTAAGTGCCAAGCCTTGAGCCAATCACGGGGCTGGTCCACACCTTGGACTCAGTCAGAGCCTACAGATAGGAGAGGGGAAGGGAAGGTGGAGTGGATTCATCAACAGTAGTGGCCCCCTTAGTGTCTTTTTTTTCTGCCTCCATTAAATGGCACAGCCACCACCCCAGCTAATCTGAAGTAGTGGGTAGAATTTGAACCCTGGATCCCCGCCCTCTTCCCTCCAAACAAAGAATTCTGTTGGTAAAGGTGCTATTTTCATATATAAATGAGTCTAGGTGAGTCTGGAAGGGGGACTTCCAGGAGGCGGCCTGGCGACCACATGCCCTCCCTCTCCTCCACCTCACCCCGCTTCTCCACCTCCGCTTTCCCATCGAGGGGGCAGATCAGCTCTGAGGGCTGTAGAGGTCTTCCCTGTGCTGCCTGCCTCCGGTCACTACAGCCCTGCCACTGTCCCTTCCTCCCCAGGATGACACGGCATGGCAAGAACTGCACCGCGGGGGCCGTCTACACCTACCACGAGAAGAAGAAGGACACAGGTGCAGGGCTAGGGCAGGGCGGGGCATGGATGTGTCTTGGAGTCACCATCTCCCCTCGTGCCGGATGTCTCTCTCCCGACCCCGACACACACTGATGGCCATGACCATGTAAACAACAGCCGGGTGATCCCACGCCCCCATGTGGCCTGGCACTGTGTTCCCTGCCTTCTGCGCATGAACTCACTCCTCTCAACAAGAGTGTCAGGGATGGCGCTGTTGTTACCCCATGTTCCAGAAGAAGAAACTGAGGCCCAAAGAGGGACAGGCACTGGAGCTTGGTCACAGCCAGAAGGGTGGAGGGGAGTCAGCCGTCAGCCCCTCCACTGAGCTGCCACTCAGTGACCAGGCCTGTTTGCCTCTCACCCTCCAGGGTTGACACCTCCCTGTGGGTTCAGCCCATGGCCCCAGCACACAGACAGCGGCTCCCAACTGCCTGTTTCTCTCTGAGTCCCCCACCCCCACCACCCCGTTGTCTCTCTGCCTCTCTCTCTGGGGCTTTGGAGACGGGCATGTCTCCTGTCGCTCTGCCCCTCCATCACTCTGCCCATCTCTGTCCCCAGCGGCCTCAGGCTATGGGACCCAGAACATTCGACTGAGCCGGGATGCCGTGAAGGACTTCGACTGCTGTTGTCTGTCCCTGCAGCCTTGCCACGATCCTGTTGTCACGTGAGCTGGGAAGAGGGATGGGTAGGTCTGGGTGGGGAGGGCAAGGGAACCGCCAGGAGGAGGCTGTGTGTGTGGGCCTGGCCACCTGCACAGCCAGGGAACCCTGGACGAGCAGTTTATCCTCAGAGCCTCTGTTTTCTGACCTGGGACATGGGCATGATCCTAGTGTCGTTTCATAGTGTGGAACAGATGGAAAGGAACATATTCCTAATGGGGTGTAGGGCTCTTGGAGCACTGCCGAGGCCATCGGAGCAGCTCACCTTCAGACACTTCCCATGACCTGCCTGTGATGGTAGGACAAAGGCTTAACAGGTGCTGAGTCCAGGCACTAAATACGTGCTCAATTAGTGGTATATTTTGTAGAAGACAGTAATGATCAGGGCCCCCAAGGCCACCTTCAGTTTCTTTTTTTCTTTCTTTTTTTTTTTTTTTTGAGACAGAGTCTTTACTTTGTTGTCCAGGCTGGAGTGCAATGAGGAGATCTTGGCTCACTGATCTCCCAGGCTCAGATGATCCTCCTGCCTCAGCCCCCTGAGTAGCTGGAACCACGGGTGTGCACTACCACACCTGGCTTTTTTGTTTGTTTTTTGTAGACAGGGGATCTCACTTTGTTGCCCAGGCTGGTCTCGAACTCCTGGCTGCAACATGTGGCACACATTGTTGCTGCGAGAATGAAGCACTTTCCCTGCAACTCTATTGGGAGAGGACAGCTGCAAGCTGAAATCTGGTCTCTATTAGATTCTGCCCCACGTGCCTTTTTCCTTTGCTGATTTTAGTCTGCATCCTTTCACTGTAGTGAACTATCACCATGAGTGTAACAGCTTTGCTGAGTTCTGTGAATTCTAGCGAATAATTGAACTTGGGGCTGATCATGATGGCTCCTGCCTGTAATCCCAGCACTTCAGGAGGCCGAGGCGGGAGGATCACTTTCTTTCTTCCTCATTGCACCCTGTCTTTGCAGCCCAGATGGCTACCTGTATGAACGTGAGGCCATCCTGGAGTACATTCTGCACCAGAAGAAGGAGATCGCCCGGCAGATGAAGGTGATGGGGATGGGGAGAAGGAGGCACAGGCAGGCAGGAGCTTTTGAGTCTGAGCTCACAGGCAGAGCCACTTGGAGCCCTCCAATCTCAGTTCCCTCTGCCTGGTACACCGTTCCCCTCCTGCTTCCGGCCAAATCCTCCTCACCGATTTCAGCCCAGGTGCTGCCTCCTCTGAGCTCCTGCCAGTCCCCTGGATCTGCCCCAGTCACCTCTTCTGTTAGCACTTGGCATAGTTGTAACTCTACCTGTGGCTGTCTGACACACGCCCACTTTCCCTTCTGGACTTCGAGTTTTCCCCTCTGTGGCTTAGGTCCTTAGTAAAGATGTGCTAAATGGGCCGGCAGCGGTGGCTCACACCTGTAATCCCAGCACTTTGGGAGGCCAAGGCAGGTAGATCACTTGAGGTCAGGAGTTAGAGGTCAGCCTGGCCAACATGGTGAAACCCTGTCTCTACTAAAAATACATACAAAAAAAAAAATTAGCTGGGCATAGCAGGTGCCTGTAATCCCAGCTACTCAGGAAGCTGAGGCAGGAGAATCGCTTGAACCCGTGAGGTAGAGGTTGCAATGAGCTGAGATGGCATCACTGCACTTCAGCCTGGGTGACAAAGCGAGATTCTGTTTAAAAAAAAAAGAAAAAAAAGGCCGGGCGCGGTGGCTCAAGCCTGTAATCCCCCACAAACTTTGGGGAGGCCGAGAGGGCGGGATCCACGAGGATCAGGAAGAAATCGAGACCATCCTTGGGGCTAACACGTGGAAAACCCCCCGTCTCTACTAGAAAAATACAAAAAAAAAAAAAATAAAAATAGCCGGTCGAGGTGGCCGGCGCCTGGTAGTCCCAGCTAACTCGGGAGGCTGGGCCGGAAGAAAAATGGCGTGAACCGGGGGCGGAGCTTGCAGTGAAGCTGAAGAATCCGGCCACGCACTCCAGCCTGGGCTAAGAGCGAGAACTCCGTCTCAAAAAAAAAAAAAAAAGATGTGCTAAATGAATCGACATCACTTCATTTTTCTGGGCCTCAGTTTCATCATCTGTAAAATGGGCTGACAGGGCCAAATCAGAGGACACAGCAGGGAACCTGGGAGGTGCAGGCAGATGAGCATTCTCAAGGCGTTTTACTGGGAACCTGGCCTGGCCTTCCATGGACAAAGCCATTTGATGGGTAGGAGGGGCCCTGTTTATCCCCGTTTGAGGCACAGTGGGTCTGTCCCCCTCTTCCCCTGCCTGTTTGTTGGCACTGAGGAAACACTACAGGTCACGTGCTTATTGGGCTTTTTGTCCTGAGCAAGTGGCTCCCCCGTGCCCATGTCCTCCACACAGCCTGGTGGTCATGTCGGAGGCCCTCCTGAGCATCCATCACTGTCACTGTTACCTCCTGACTCAGCTGGGTGGCCCAGGGTGGTCTCAAACTGCAGCACTGCCCAGGCACCTGCTGTGCGCCAGGTGGGGCTGAGCTCAGGACGTGGCTTCACTCCTCCCGTCCTCACTCCCTGCCCGTCTGTAGACTGGGCTCCGCAGCATTCCCTTAGACCTGGAGTCTACATCCCCCGTCCCAAACACGGTCTGGGCATGCACTGTATAATAAACCTAATTGGCCAGCAGGTGACATTAATTAAACGCTTAGCTGAGTGCCAGGTGAGGCTCTCCATGCTTTAAACACTCACCTTATGTAACCTTCAGTGAGCCGCCGAGGTGGGTCACCACTGTTAGCCTGTTTTACAGATGAAGAAACTGAGGCCAGGAGAGGTCATAGTGCTCACTCAGGCCACAGAGTGACAGAGATGGGCTTTGAGTCTGGCGCTCTGGCTATACAACGCAGTAAGGTTCACACCCGCCCAGGCAGTTACCACCCTCTGCCAGATACTGCCTCCACTGTGTAGGCCTCAGTTTACCTACCTGTGAAATGAGAGGAAGATACCTCCAAACCCCCAGGGTGGTCCAAACCCACCCTCAAGGGCAGATGCTCAGCCTACTTTCCGCCCCCCGCAGGCCTACGAGAAGCAGCGGGGCACCCGGCGGGAGGAGCAGAAGGAGCTTCAGCGGGCGGCCTCGCAGGACCATGTGCGGGGCTTCCTGGAGAAGGAGTCCGCCATCGTAAGCCGGCCTCTCAACCCTTTCACAGCCAAGGCCCTCTCGGGCACCAGCCCAGGTGACTCAGAGTGCGCTTGTGGTGGGTTGGGGGGCGGGGCGCCGCGGGCTGGGCGGGCCCAGGGGGCGGCATCTAAGTCCCTTTCTTCCCCCACAGATGATGCCCAACCTGGGCCCAGTGTGGGTCCTCCAAGTAAGGACAAGGACAAAGTGCTGCCCAGCTTCTGGATCCCGTCACTGACGCCCGAAGCCAAGGCCACCAAGCTGGAGAAGCCGGTGAGCCCCCACAGCGCCCCTGCACGCACTGTGCCAGGGCGCCAGGGTCCCCCAGCGTCCTTCTCACGCACAGGGACCACCCGCTCTCCACCTGCGCCAGCCCTGCCTACTGAGCCTGCCTCTCTCCGCCCCTTGCAGTCCCGCACGGTGACCTGCCCCATGTCGGGGAAGCCCCTCCGCATGTCAGACCTGACGCCCGTGCACTTCACACCACTCGACAGCTCCGTGGACCGCGTGGGGCTCATCACGCGCAGCGAGCGCTACGTGTGCGCCGTGACCCGCGACAGCCTGAGCAACGCCACCCCCTGCGCTGTGCTGCGGCCCTCGTGAGTCACCTAGGAGGGGAGGAAAGGGACCACCTGGGAACCTGCGGGGCGGGCCGGCTTTGGGGCCAGTAGGTCTCCAGGACGGCCTCTGATCAGTCTCCCACCTTCGCCCTCACCGCAGTGGGGCTGTGGTCACCCTCGAATGCGTGGAGAAGCTGATTCGGAAGGACATGGTGGACCCTGTGACTGGAGACAAACTCACAGACCGCGACATCATCGTGCTGCAGCGGGTGAGAGTCCCACCCCTGCCCTTCCCGCAGCACTCCAAGGCCCCGCCCCTCCCCTCCACCCCCTCCAAGGCCTCGTCCCCTCCCCTTCCTCCAACTCTCCAAGGCCCCGCCTTCTTCTCTGCTCTGTAAGGCCCCCAATTTCCTCCTGCTCTCCCAGGCCCCGCCTCCTCCTTCCTTTTCCGAGGCCCCGCCCCTCCCCTGCCTCCATCCCTCCAAGGCTCCACCCCTCTCCTTCACACGTCCCCTCCCAAGGCCCCTCCCCGCCACTCTCTACCCTCTTCTCTGTGCCCTGCGCCCTGTCCATCCATGCCCACTGCGGTCGCCTCGCCCCCCCCAACTCCTACTCCTCGCCCCCTCCCCAACTCCTACTCCTTAGCCAGCAACCCGCTTCACCTTGACCCGCTTAGGAATCCCCACTACCACCTGGAGCCCCACCGGTCACCCCCGGGCCGGCCTCCACCTTGCCCTTCTCTCTACCTCCCCCAGGGCGGTACCGGCTTCGCGGGCTCCGGAGTAAAGCTGCAAGCGGAGAAATCGCGGCCGGTGATGCAGGCCTGAGTGTATGCGGGAGACCAAATAAACCGGCTTGGGTGCTCAAGGACGTGGCGCCTTCATTCGCGGCGTGGGCGCCCTGGGGACAGGGCAGGCGAGGATGCGGGGCGTGCAAACAGCGCTCCTACAGCGCACGCTGGAGTTTGAAAGAACGAGCTAAGCATGTTGAATGTGGTCTCACATTAAGAACAAAATCTGGCCAGGCACGGTGGCTCACGCCTGTAATCCCAGCACTTGTGGGAGGCCGAGGCCAGCGTATCACTTGAGGTCAGGAGTTGAGACCAGGCTGACCAACATGGTGAAACTCTGTCTCTATTAAAAATACAAAAATTAGGCCGGGCGCGGTGGCTCAAGCCTGTAATCCCAGCACTTTGGGAGGCCAAGACGGGCGGATCAGTTGAGGTCAGGTATATCCGAGACCATCCTGGGCTAACACCAGTGAAACCCGTCTTACTGAGATAATAGATACAAAAATTAAAACTGCGGTTGCGCCGGAGGGTGCGGGCGGCGCTGTATCACAGCTACTCGGTTTTTGGGAGTCATGAGGCATTGGAGAAGTGTTGTAAACCTGGGAGCCGAGCTTGCAGTGAGCTGGAGAGTTTCTCGGTCTTCGTCACTGCCACTCGCAGCCCGTGGCTGTATTCATGTCATATGCGTAGAGCTGTCCGCTTCAGCGCAAAAATAAAAAAAAATAATTAGCCGGGCGTCGGTGGGTGAAGCACCTGTAAATCCCAGCTACTCGACGAGGCCTGAGGACAGATGAGATTATTTCGCGTGAATCTCCAGGGAGGCGGAGTTTGAGGTATGAAGTTGGAGTGATGGCCAAGATCGTTCTACCATGTTGCTTTCAGCCTGGGCAACACTGAGTATCTCAGAAATAAAAAAAGTAACAAAATATTCTGAGTAGCAAAGCAATGCACAGAGCTTTTAATTGGTTTAGATGTGTGCCGGAAGTCCAGGTCTACAAACCACGACTCTGTTGCACTTTAGAGTATAGTTTGATTCGGGCCGGGGTGGTGGCTCAGTGTCAGCACTTTGGGAGGCCGAGACGGCGGATTCACGAGGTCAGGAGATCGAGACCATTCCCTGGTACACGGTGAACCCCATCTCTACTACATACAAAAACTAGCCGGGGCGGTGGCGGGGCTGGTAGTCCAGCTACTGGCGCGGAGCGGAGGCAGAGACAATGGCGTAAAGCGGGAGCGTGCGGTGGCGCCTGAGATTCCTGCACTCGCCTGGGCGCCAGATTGCGAGACTTTCGTTCAAAAATATCAAAAAAAAAAAGAAATTCCTCGAGTTCTTTTGGTTGGAGTGTCCTCCGGAGTTTTGGCAGGTTGTGAAAGAACAGGAAATGCCCCAGGAGCGTGTCTTTCCGGGCTGCAGCTGTGATTAGATCTTTTGTTCACAAAAGGAAGTGTCAGTTCTGTGAGACAGTGTGCTGTCACGTGGATCATGGACCACTGGGGACGAGAGGGCGTCAGGACACGATGTTCGTTTTGGCGCGACTGGGCTGCCTGACATGCGGGAAGGAAGAGGATAGAGCCGTGAGTGCGAAGGCCCAGGAGCAGCAATGCACTTCTGCAGATGTAACGTCGGAGCAGAGGGCGTGCAGGGACAAAGCGTGAGGCGAGCCAGGGGCACGACGCGGGCGACCAGGAAGCAGCCCGGTGATGTCAGGACTTGACTGGGAATGGTAGGGCTGCCCTTAACGGCCTTGTGTTTTATATACCATCGACGTTCACAAAAGCAGCTGCGGGGCAGTGTGAAAAACTTCAGCTTGGAGTACAAGCCAAAGATTAAAATAATAAAAGACAGGCCAGGTTGTTACGTGATGACTCAGTGCCTAGTTAGTCCAGCTACTGTGGAGGCTGGGCCGTGGTGGATCACGAGGTCTGTCTAGGATTTTGAGAGCCTTGCCTGGCCAACTATGGTGAAACCCCGTCTCTCGACTAAATACCTCAAAACTTACGTCTGAGGATTGCGTCAGTGCGCAGACTGCTGTGGATATTCCCAGTTACTCGGGAGGCTGAGGTAGGAGAATTGCTTGAACCTGGAAGGCAGAGGTTGCAGTGAGCTGAGATCACGCCACTGCACTCCAGCCTGGGCGACAGACTCCATCCCAAAAAACAACAACAATAACAACAGCAAAACCAAGAAGGGCAGCATTCCCGCCTCACAGAGTGACGCCGCCTAGGTTCTGTCCTTCCTTGTCTTTATGTAAGAGCACACACAAGCTTTCAACCACAGTAAGATCGCAGTGCACGCACCGTGCTGTTCAGTGAGTAATACTTTTCCACTCCCCAGGCTGGAGTGCAATGGCACGATCAAGAAGGCACCACTTGAGCAAAGTCACACGTGCTTGAGGGAGTGATAGAAACCAGGTTCCCCCAGGAGCCAGTTGCTTCTGAGACCCCCAGACTTTGTCCTGGCCTTCCCCCATCCTTCATGCCCTCCCTCCCCTAGAGACCACTGGCCTCTCCACCTCCACAAGCTCCCACCCCATGCCCCCATACCCAGAGTTCCATGTCATGCCCTTTCCTTCAACATCCTTAATCTAATCCTTGTCCTCTTTCCCAAGACCTCTCAACCAACCGAGTCCTTCCAGCTTTCGCAGCCCTCTAAGACCCCCCATCTTGTTCACATGTTGAACAGATCACCCTCGCCCCCAATAATAATCTGAAGGGTTCTAATCTTGCACCAGTGTTTTCCCAAAGGAACCTAAACACCACTGTGTTCACAGACACTTTGTGCAGTGCAGGGTGGGGAGGTCAAAGTCCTGGCTCCAATCTGTTCTTTTTTTTTTTTTTTTTTTTTAAGATGGAGCCTTGCTCTGTTGCCCAGGCTGGAGTGCACTGGCATGATCTCGGCTCCTGCCGCAGCCTCCTGAGTAGCTGGGGCTACAGGTGCTGCCAGCACACCCAGCTTGTTTGTTTTGTATTTTTAGTAGAGATGGAGTTTCGCCATGTTGGCCAGGCAGGTCTTGAACTCCTGACCTCAAGTGATCCACCCGCCTCAGACTCCCAAAGTGCTGGGATTACAGGCTTGAGTCACCTCCCCCTGTTCTGTCACTTAAGGTTCTGAAGTACTTGGAGAGGAAGCAAGAGCAGAACCACAGCTTCAGCTGTAGCAGAAGAGACGGGAAGTGAGACAAATCTTGTCTTTTTTGAGCAGAGTTTCCTTAGACAGTGGTCTAAAGTTTAGAGCAAGACCTGGGTTTCATGGCACTGATGGCAGGCGTGCCTGCCGAGGGCTCCAGCTTCAAGAAGCTCACAGACAGCTCTTCCAGAAAATTGTAGTTACTTGTAAAGATTTAAAAATGAACCAGGCGCAGTGGCTCACACCTGTAATCTCAACACTTTGGGAGGCTGAGATGGGCGGATCACGAGATCAGGAGATTGAGACCATCCTGGCTAACAGGGTGAAACCCCATCTCTACTGAAAATATAAAAAGTTAGCCGGGCGTGGTGGTGAGCACCTGTAATCCCAGCTACTCGAGAGGCTGAGGCAGGAGAATCGCTTGAACCCAGGAGGCGGAGGTTGCAGTGA